CCCCATCCTGCAATTGTGCGAAGGCGGGGTACACCCTGGACAGGTCGCCAATCCATCGCAGAAAAAAACAAACAAACAAAAAAAAAACATACACACTAGTAAATATCAAATTTGCTGCAGTTGCCGGCTCAGTCTTAACCTTAACCCAGCTTTTCTGGCAACTCTTCGGTGTTGTTTTCCTGGAACGACAGCAAATGATGGCACAACTGCAAACATGGGAAATTCAGGAGCAACCAACAAGAATACTGATAAATATTTGATATTGCTACTCCAAACCCTTTAGCAATCATACAACACATTTAAAGATTGTGAATCCAAGTTTCCATCCTCCACCCACACAAACATCTAACTTCAAACCTACATGTTCACTTAAATGAATATGTCATGTGTGAGAAATATTCTAATTGCCTGCAGGTGTATTGTTCAAGTCTTTATATGTGGTCAGATTAAATGTTAGTTGGTGAGTGATCCGGTTATGAACTGGCTTTGAAGTAACCATGTTTACACAGCTGACTGAAACCTGTTATGTTTGCAAGACAATTTACATAAAAAGCCACACTTTCATTTCACATTTACCTACTAGCTAGTGGTTAGATTGGGTTTTAAGATTAAAAACAACAACAAAAACATGTTGAAATGTTTTCCCCAAGACTTTTTCTTTAGTTTCATGAGTTAATCTTGTGTTCTTTGTTGGTGTTGACATGTATTTGTTGGTGCACATACTTTCTCTGGAAAGCCAAAATAATTTTGACATGAATGGAGTCCTACAAGGGTCTGCTCCAGCTCTAAATGAAAGCTTAATGCTGATTGGTTGAGCTGAAACACCTGGGGCCAGATGAATAAGGGATGCTTACACACAAAAACCATGTAAATGCCTTTTCCTACACACACTGATAGGAATGTGTGCACCTCACAGATCATGCTTACTCAGGACTTAAGTAGGTGTGATATGATGAAGTGGAAATTAAAAATATGGTGAGACAGGCCATTTTAAACAGTTTGATTTATAGCAGTTTACATATGTTTCATTTAATAAAGTTTATTTTTAAATATTGAATTTGTGGTAGCCTAAAGAATTTTTCTCTGTCGATTTCCCGCTTTTCACTTTAGACAAATTATTCTGCTGATATTACTGTTATTAATTCATTGTTGTTTATTTATGATTGAGACCACTAGCCTAACAATAAGCCTTTATAGGTGTGTGCTTAAAATTTACAACCCTCTGTAAATAGTAGTGCGTAATGGTCGTGCGTTAGGATGGTTACAGGCGTCACTGCAGGATCTTGGCAATGCGGCTATAAGAGTGTTTCCAGATCCTTCTGTTTCCCTGTAAAGCTGTATGACCAAAACTGCAGTGGATAATGCAACAGTTGTCGATCCTTCAGATCCTTCAAGTCCTGTTGCCCTGAAGCTCTATTTGTGCGCACGTACACGCTTTCCAGCCTCTTGCTCACAATCCGACCACTTCTTTTAAACCTCAGCCACCACCCTTTGCCACCGCCCTGTTGATGACCTCTGTTTTGGTTTTGTTCTTTGGCCATTCTTCAGCTTTTCTTCTGTTGGTAATCCCTAACTTGAAAAACAAATCGTCTTTTCTTTTTCTCCACCACTCCATGTCAGGTTCACACATGTCTAATCCTGTATGGTTCAGAGACCATTTTATATGCAAATAACCAAGTAAAGGCGTGAATCTATTTATGGCCAAAAGTGCAAATTGAAAAGAAGCTCGTGCGCATGCGCCAACTCCGATGGCTGAGATTTACACAGTAGAACCAGGCGTTCCGGTGGGTTTATCTGATGAAAGCAACTAGTAAGATCATTTCTATCTTCTGGGTGCACACACATCTACCCAGAGTTAGACACCCCGCTCCAGAAGAATGCTTCTAGGCAGGAAACACACAGGTGTTACTAATAGCATACACAACAGGTCTGTCCAAGTCAAGCAGCCCAGTAATCCGTGACAATGAGATAGTAACCAAACCTGGATCCCGAAAGTGAAGCAGCTAAATGGAATTCACCCAGTGTTATTTACACTGTGACATATCAAAATGCGATTAGATGATCTTATTGCACAATAAAAGTTAAAGGGAAAATGTTCAGTGTCTGTAGTAAAACATTAAAAAGTACTTCTTATCAAGGAACAAATGCTTGAGGGATATGCTCCAGATGCCAAAGACTCTTTCAAGCAGAATGTTTGTCAAAGGAGGAGAGAGAAAAATGGTGACAATACTGTGGCCACACTGTGTGTATTTAGACCAACCCTTATTTTAAAATGTCACTCTACCAGTTTTACCCATTGAACACAGAAAGTGCTTAATAACGTCTGAACAATATGTTTTCTGCTTGTAGATGTCAAATGTATTGCAGAATAAAGTGTTACATTCTGGGGCTGTGGCGTTTGAAAGACATGGGCTTTTGCTACTTGAAGTATCTAATGAAATGACTTGCATTATGGGAAATGTACTGCAAAATAAAAGTTAGGCTACCTCGGCGTTGGCTGCATTGATTTTGGCAACTATTTTTAAAACACGTCTCTTATGCATCCCCAAACTGAAGATGCAACACTGAATGCTAGAATAATAATTTAAAGCAGCTATACTCAATATTTTGCTGGTGTCAAATGATAATGTGAAAAGGATTTCTTGCAGAGAATTATCACTTGAATCTACAGCTCCCATTGACTTTATGGAGCTTGAGTTTCAACTTATTGTTTAGCCATCCAGCTGCAACTTTGCAGTTTTAGTTCACTCTCACTACTCTCATATTGTTGTTTCTGGCAGTAGCGGGCAGCTCTTTTCAGCAAAAAACAAGCTCTAAGCCACTGTACACTATGTACTTGGCACCAAATTTAGCAGCTAGCTGATGAAAATTTAACATTTAACAGCTTAAGATGATTCTCTTTTCCCTCGCCTCTGTCCCCCTTCCCTTGCAGGTGTATGGAGGTTTGGTGTGGACCTTGGTGGCGACCTTGATAGGGACCTTGGCGACATTGGCTACTTCAAGTTTTCTCACCGATTGCCTTTTCGGATGGGTGATGTTCGTCTCCGTCTTCTGCTTTGTATTCACAACGCTCTGGATCCTACTCTTCCTTTGTGGATGCAATCAGAGCAGCATCTGGCCTACCCTGGTTAGACATGCCTACCACTTGTTGAGTGGCTAATTGGATTAATGGCTACATGGCCAAAAGTATGTGGACAACTGAACATTCCATTGCATTGATTGATGTAAATGTCATTCTGAACCAGAGGTTTCTTGCTACCATAACAGCCTCCACCAGACATTCCACATAATTTTGGGTCTTGACTGCAGGGTTTTTCTCCTATTCAGCCATTGAAGAACTATTCACCCTGTACAAAATATCATTGTATGATGTGGCATCAAAATGGTGCAGCATGCAAGGGTGTCCACATACTTCTGGCATGTAGTGTAGGACACATCATGTCATTAACTGTTTACTGAACCCCATACCTGAAAGATAACATTAGTGACTCTAGCTGCTTTTTGCTGAATTTGGAGAAGTCACCCAAAATACTGGAAATAGCATTATATGTTATATTGTAATGTTAAAAGTAAAAATGCACAGTTGGGGAAAGTTTGTAAGCTACCTAGCTCAACACTGTGAGAACAAAGCTTTATTTGCATGTCTTCTACATTAGTCATTAGCTGATGTGGATGCTAACTTTTTGTCTGAGACTTTAGTTTCAGTCTTTTGGGGAGAAAAAGTAAAGAACAAGTCTGACATTTTTGGCATAAAGTTATATGAGAAGATCAACCCCGCTGCTGTCTGTAACCTATGGCCAGAAACCAGTTAGCTTAGCACAGCACAAAGACTGGAACCAGGTGGAAAGCCTCTAGCCTGGCCTGGTTCAGTGCTAACAGCACCTTTACCTGTTAACTTACCTCAATCAGAACAAAATACAAACAGTAACTTCAGAGTCTTACAGGGAGTAGTTATAATAATTTTTGTGTTCTGATTAGGATCAGTTTGGTTTTTGCACACATTAAACATGAAACATGATTTGTTATTTAGTAAGTGTTAGAAGTGATAGTGGGCAGATTATTGGGCACAGCCAGGCTGTTTCCACCTGTTTTCAGTGTGAAGATGTTGAACTAACGCTGTGTCAGAAGAGAATTTCCCCAAAATGCTGAGCTATTCCTTTAGGACCCCTTTTAAAACAAGCTATTTGGAAACATTACCCAACATTACCCATTACTGTTTTCACCCAAACCCTGAAGCTAACCTTTGTTTAATAGTTGGCAAATTAAAAAAGAAAATGTTCCCTTCTGCCCTTCTTCCCTTTCTGTCTTTTTCACTTTCTACCCTTTGTTTCCATCTTCCTCACTGTCCCTCCCCCTGTGTAGGATGTATTTTATCATTTTGTGGCAGTGCTTTTCTACCTCAGTGCATCAGTGATTCTGGCATACTTCACTATCGGGATTGGATTGGGGCCATCTAATGTTGTTATTCTCAAAATCTATCGACTGGCAATCTCTGCAGTGGTATGATGTCAAACACACACACACACACACACACACACACACACACACACACACACACACAGATCATAACCAATTACTATATTTAAATGTATTACAATACTTCAAAATACTGTAAATCATTTAAGACAAACTACCAACAGCATTTAATGACTCTTTCAAATCAAATTTGTGTTATTTTCCACACAAAGTAACTTAATTAGTTACTTATATAGTCATTTACTTCCTTTTACATACCACAATGACATATTTTTTTTAAATTTGTTTTAAGAAAAGACTTTTAGATTTTTTTTTAATGTTTGACACAAGCAAAATATTAATCTGCCAGCAATTTGACAAATATAGTGAAATAAAAAGTGCAGTATTTTTCTCTAAGGTAAAATAATAAATTAGCAGAAAATGGAAATATTCAAATACCTTAAAACTGTGCCCTTGGATAAATGTACCTTCCACCATTGGTGGAATTCATAAAGTAATTCACAATAAACTGTTGTGCTTGCAGTAACTTAATCCATTTCTTCAGCATCTGACAAGCAGATATTACTGTAGGCAGTTAAAAACATTTTTTTACACTATATAAATGACTATTTTTCCTAGCTTTATGTAATATTTTTGTATAAAACAAGCATTTTGACAGTGTCACCTTGAGCTCCGGGGCTGGAGATTGGTTTTACAAAGACTGCCAAAATATTTACTAACTTAATAAAAAAAAAAGGCTTAGCAATTGATAATAAAATCGGTTGGCAGGTGCAGCTCTAATGCAATCACGCATAGATATTCAAGTTCCCGTTCATCTCCGTTCATGTTGTTTAAACCTGTGTGTTGACACCTGTGGCTCTATAATCCCTCTGTTCTTCTAATACATGATTTCTCTGTTTTCAGGTGATGTCCTTTTTAGCCACTCTTTTCTATTTCCTTCATGCCATTTTCTCTGCCATCCGATGGAAGAGGTCCTAAGACAACCATCAACCAAACCAGTCATTGAAGTAAACATGGAATTGCTTTTGGGTTTTTTTGTCCTTTTTATTTTCATGTCAGAAAGAGTAACAGTGCTAAAACATCAAATAAGTGGATGAATGGAAAATAAGAAAGTTACTGATGAATGTTACTTGTTTACTGCTCTGGTTAGTTAAATAGCTATAATGTGTCTTCTTTTTTTTAAAGGCTATGTTTTGATATAACCTACAGATGAAAACTTTCCCTGATAAATTGTTAGATTTTTTTTAAAGGAACTTCCAAAAAATTTGATGATGTAAATAAGAGATTTTGCTTCACAAGTATTTTTGAAATTAGTGATATGTAAATTAACAAATTGGACATTGAAACATCCTGATTTCTCTGGTTGTTCAGATGTTTAAAGAACCAACAAGTTGAGTAAAGACAATATTGACATAAAACTGTTATGTGTTGGGGGG